TTATGCTTTGAACTATTGTGCCCAAAAGTGTTTCAGAAACAAGCCCAATGGGAAGAACAACAGATGGAATCTCCATTGTCTCCCACTCTAAACTTGTGCCTTAGAAGAGCAAAGTTTGGGGAAGAAAGGAAAGGTTTTCTGCCGATTGTCTCCTGTGAGTTCTAGACAGGGTGGATAAAAATCAATGATTTTTCAAAAAATATATTTTTTATTTAAATTGGATTCTTTTTAATTTAAATTGGATTTTTAAACTAAAATGCTTTTGGAGGAAAAATATTTCTAAACATAGTTTTCTATTTAAGTTACACTATAGTCCAAAGGCTATTCATCAGGAAATAAGGTTTTGTTTTAAGTTTTTCATGTGTGCTAAAACTTAGTCTAAGGGTTTTTTTAAAAAAACAACAACACAGTTTAACCACATCAGTTAACAAACATGGATACATATGCTATAATGTTATTGTTTTAGCTAAATAAATTGTTTGAATTGTTATTAAGGAAATGATTGTTTTTCTTTTTCCAATAAAGTACAGCAGAAAAGTTGTCCAAATATAAATAGGTAACTTATTAAATCTCACAGTAATTGCATAATTATATGTCTATGTGTTTCTAATAGTATAACCAAATCAGTAATTTTTGATATAACTGTAAAAACTACACTGAAAATTTATTATTCCCAAAATGAAACCTTCATCCGGTTGTAAATATTAAGATTATACCAGCAAAAATGAGTCTTCCTGTAAAAAAAAATGATTTAAATCAAGTCTTACTGAAACGTGATTTAAATCAATTTGATTTAAATACATTTGATTTAAATCAAATGCACCCTGGTTCTAGACACTTCAGAGCACTTGTCTCCTTGCTGGTGGTTCTGTCTACCAGCTCAGGCATGAAAGCAAAGCCATCAGGAAAGCCCCTCTCCCCTTTCTTGCGATGTAGCCTCCTTAATTCCCCTCTTTGCCCTGAGACTTGAAGAAAATTCAGAATTAAAGAGCAGAATTGAGAGAAGTTGCTTTTGATCCTCCCAGTGCCCCCTAGGACAAGCTAGTGCTTTCTTAAAGAAACTCACCTGGATTCTCTTGGCATTGTTGTTGTTGTTTAGTCGTTTAGTCGTGTCCGACTCTTCGTGACCTCATGGACCAGAGCACGCCAGGCACCCCTGTCTTCCACTGCCTCCCGCAGTTTGGTCAAACTCATGCTGGTAGCTTCGAGAACACTATCCAGCCATCTCGTCCTCTGTCGTTCCCTTCTCCTTCTGCACTCCATCTTTCCCAACATCAGGGTCTTTTCCAGGGAGTCTTCTCTTCTCATGAGGTGGCCAAAGTATTGGAGCCTCAGCTTTAGGATCTGTCTTTCCAGTGAGCACTCAGGGCTGATTTCCTTCAGAATGGATAGGTTTAATCTTCTTGCAGTCCATGGGACTCTCAAGAGTCTCCTCCAACACCATAATTCAAAAGCATCAATTTTTTGGTGATCAGCCTTCTTTATGGTCCAGCTCTCACTTCCATACATCACTACTGGAAAAAACATAGCTTTTCCTATACGGACCTTTGTTGGCAAGGTGATGTCTCTACTTTTTAAGATGCTGTCCAGGTTTGTCATTGCTTTTCTCCCAAAAAGCAGGCGTCTTTTAATTTTGTGGCTGCTGTCACCATCTGCAGTGATCATGGAGCCCAAGAAGGTAAAATCTCTCACTGCCTCCGTTTCTTCCCCTTCTATTTGCCAGGAGGCATTAGAGGCCATCCAATCTTAATGACTGTTAAGCTTAAGGAAGCACCCATAGATAAGGCAGCAAGTGGAAAAGGAAAGGGCTGTAAGAAATGGAAAGCAGTGGAAACTTCGCATTTTGCAAAGGGGCAAGGACAGAACTGGCATTCATGGGGGGTTGGAAGGCCTTGATTTCCACACACAGCTAATTCTGCACATGAATGTTGTGGGCAATACATTAGCAAATAATGAAATGCTGCGGAAATACACAATTAATGTGGGTTTGCTTTCAAGGTGAGCTTACTACCATTTTTAGGGAAATCACAAAGGTCTATTACACAGTAGGTGCATTTCAGTTTCCCCAAAGATACAAATATTTTAAAATGCGGCCTTCCAAATGATTATTTGCAAGGCAGGAGAAATAAGTTAGCGGGAATATGGTAAAAGAGGCAAAAATGTGTACAGTATTGTTCAGGCATTATAACTGAACTATCAAGTGAAAAATGGAACTGGATAAAAGAGAGATAATTGACGAAACAGTATAGATTTTCCACAGAGGAGCGAGAAATAAACAAGAAATATTAATGCAATTATAATAGCCTTGTCGGGGAGATGAAGCATTGATCATGGACAAATTCACATAGCCTAGTATTGGCTAGCCAAGTACAACATAAAGAGGAAGTCATTGTCTTTGAGCAGGTACAATTGTAGGCTGCAATTTATAAGGGAACAAAGTGAAGAAACATATATATATATTCTTTCTTTCTGTAGGAACGAAAGAGAATTGTGGTGACCCAATTCCAGCTTTTGTTGTGTACAGAGTGCCAGTATTGACAGCAGTACAAATTATTGTTGCTATCAAATACGAAAGAATACTACTATGTCTGAGATGGATTGAGCCACTATGGTGGTATCCTCCTTGGGTACAATTTAGAAATCTCTCTAAGTTTTTGAGAAAAAAACTGGGCCTAGTACTTTCCTTCCTTCCTTCCTTCCTTCCTTCCTTCCTTCCTTCCTTCCTTCCTCCCTTCCTGAAATTGGCAACCCATTTTTCCTTCCAAAGGAGCCCAGTACTTTTAATAAGCCTTCTCGAGTCTTCCCCTGAAGAACTCTTAGGACCAACTACAGTTGTACCTCGGAAGTCGAACGGAATCCGTTACGGAAGTCCGTTCGATTTCCAAAACGTTCGGAAACCAAAGCTCCTGCAGCCAATCGGAAGCAGTGGAAGCCCCGTCGGACATTCGGGTTCCAAAGAACGTTTGCAAACTGGAACGCTCACTTCCGGGTTTGCGACATCCGGGAGCCAAAACGTTCAAGTACCAAGGCATTGGGCATCCAAGGTACGACTGTTCTCCATTGCTGTTTAACTTTTTCCATATTTAAGCCCACTATCCCAAAGGGCTTAAACAGGGGTCTGCAAACTTTTTCAGCAGGGGACCGGTCCACTGTCCCTCAGACCTTGTGGGGGGCCAGACTACATTTTTTTTGGGGGGGGGAATGAACAAATTCCTATGCCCCACAAATAACCCAGAGATGCATTTTAAATAAAAGCACACATTCTACTCATGTAAAAACACACAAATAACCCAGAGATGCATTTTAAATAAAATGACACATTCTACTCACATAAAAACACGCTGATTCCTGGACTGTCCGTGGGCCGGATTGAGAAGGCGAATGGGCCGGAACCGGCCCCTGGGCCTTAGTTTGCCTACCCATAGGCTTAAATAACCATAGTCACACCCATTCCCTCCCAGCCACTCCCACCCTGCAAATACTTATTAGCGTTACTCTTTACTTAAAGCTGCTTGGGAGTAGACTTGTATACTGTGTATACTGTGAGTGCCTGGAGGCGGTTGGAGGTTGGATGGCGGCTAACAGATTGAGGTTGAATCCTGACAAGACAGAAGTACTGTTTTTGGGGGACAGGAGGCGGGCAGGTGTGGAGGATTCCCTGGTCCTGAATGGGGTAACTGTGCCCCTGAAGGACCAGGTGCGCAGCCTGGGAGTCATTTTGGACTCACAGCTGTCCATGGAGGCACAGGTCAAATCTGTGTCCAGGGCAGCTGCTTACCAGCTCCATCTGGTACGCAGGCTGAGACCCTATCTGCCTGCGGACTGCCTCGCCAGAGTGGTGCAAGCTCTGGTTATCTCCCGCTTGGATTACTGCAATGCGCTCTACGTGGGGCTACCTTTGAAGGTGACCCGGAAACTACAACTAATCCAGAACGCGGCAGCTAGACTGGTGACTGGGAGCGGCCGCAGAGACCACATAACACCGGTCTTGAAAGACCTACATTGGCTCCCAGTACCTTTCTGAGCACAATTCAAAGTGTTGGTGCTGACCTTTAAAGCCCTAAACGGCCTTGGTCCAGTATATCTGAAGGAGCGTCTCCACCCCCATCGTTCTACCCGGACACTGAGGTCCAGCACCGAGGGCCTTCTGGCGGTTCCCTCACTGCGAGAAGCCAAGTTACAGGGAACCAGGCAGAGGGCCTTCTTGGTAGTGGCGCCTTCCCTGTGGAACACCCTCCCACCAGATGTCAAAGAGAACAACAACTACCAGGCTTTTAGAAGACATCTGAAGGTAGCCCTGTTTCGGGAAGCTTTTAATGTTTGTTGTATTATAGTATTTTAATATTCTTTTGGAAGCCGCCCAGAGTGGCTGGGGAAGCCCAGCCAGATGGGCGGGGTATAAATAATAAATTATTATTATTATATTATTATTATTGTATAGTAAACCGGATTTTGAGCACACATACATAGATAGTATCAGTCTATGAAATACAGCATATTGGCTTTATTCTGGTGACATAAGTTTCACTTCAGCTACTGAAAGTTCTTCCAGATATTTTGTGTAGGGTTGTATTTAGTTGTATGCCTCTGCTGACGGATGGCTCTTTCAGCCAACGGAAGCTTCGTGAGCTGAAAAGGGGAGAGGGTCATTTTTGTGAATTCGGCATCGGCCCTGCAATCTGCTGTGCCACATACCATACCATTGGTGCCTTGTACAACTTGTTTCTTGTTGACTTCCAAAGTCAGATGCAAAACTTAAGCAAAATTAAAGGAAATCATTCAAAATTGGCTCAGTTTCCAAAAGCGATACGTGTCGCATAATGAGCTTTCCTTGGCCCAAGCACAGCTTAGTTTGTGTTTCAGCGGGGAGTAAACGTATCACACAAGTGCCAAAGGACTGCATCCCTCTTATTGTATTAGTTACAGGTAGGTAGCTGTGTTGGTCTGCCATAGTCGAAACAAAATAAAAAAAAATTCCTTCCAGTAGCACCCTAGAGACCAACTAAGTTTGTTATTGGTATGAGCTTTCGTGTGCATGCACACTTCTTCAGATACACTGAAACAGAAGTCACCAGACCCTCTCATGTGTAAGGCTCTGGTCACTTCTGTTTCACTGTATCTGAAGAAGTGTGCATGCACACGAAAGCTCATACCAATAACAAACTTAGTTGGTCTCTAGGGTGCTACTGGAAGGAATCCTCTTATTGTACGTTATTCATTTTAAAATTTCTAAGATGCCTTTTGACCAAACTGGGTCAATAATAGCCTTCAGTAGTATCAAACACAATTGGTTAATACTGGCTCACCTGTCCATTCATTTTAAAAAATGCATGTACAGTGGTACCTCGGGTTAAGTACTCAATTCGTTCCGGAGGTCCGTTCTTAACCTGAAACTTTTCTTAACCTGAAGCACCACTTTAGCTAATGGGGCCTCCTGCTGCCGCCGGGCTGCCGGAGCACGATTTCTGTTCTCATCCTGAAGCAAAGTTCTTAACCCAAGGTAATATTTCTGGGTTAGCGGAGTCTGTAACCTGAAGCATATGTAACCTGAAGCGTATGTAACCCGAGGTACCACTATAAAACAAATATTTTGCATTGGAGTCCAATTGACCAATTGCTATTTCTTCCAAGAAACGGCATGGTGAAATTTGTTGGTGGAATGGGACTAAGTAGCAATAGATAAAGGACAAGCCATTGGGGTAAAAGAGGGAAAGTTGAACTAAAGAAGCATTAATGACACTAGCAAAAGCAGCAAAAGATTATTACGAATGACAGCAATGTGTTTATTCTTTTCTATCACTAACGTTCACCCATGGGCCTGCTGTTAGTTTATTTATCACAATCATATACCGCCTTTGCTCCAGTTTGCTAAAGGTGACATATATGGCTCTACTTTTCCCATTTTATCTTCACAATAAACCTCTTGAGAGAGACACATTGTAGGCTGCATTCAACCATCTCTTTGCGGCCCAAAGACTCTTTGACCCAGAGGGTACTTCCACCAGCACAGAAAGGAAGGGGAAGAGATTTTCACTGGTTCTGCCTCAGAGGTTTGGCAAAGAATGATATGTGCAAGCAGTGGCGTCTGAGTTTCCAGCAGACATAATCCACAAACTTGCAGCAATTTTTAACCAGACATAACGGCAGGAAACTTGGGTTTTTCTTTCAAATTAAAGCAGAGATGCTTAGAATCCTAGACTCTTGTGTTGTCCATTTTGGTGCATGATCAATATTGTGAATAATTGCACTCACAAACAGCTCTGCTTATGACTTAAGTGTTAACCTGCACTTTGAGCCACAACACACATTTTTCCCATAGCAGCAACCAGGGAATAATCTATTTGGCTAGCAGTTCCCTCTGCAGCAAAGCTAATACTGAACCAGTCAGGCAGCTGGATGTATTTGCCATAGAATAACCACACTGAGATTTGAGTTTATTGTTAGGGTGACCCAGAAGGGAGTACATTCATGAGGCAGGAGGGCAAATAACACCCTAACTCATATAGGTTGAGAAAGAGGGGGTTATTGTGTGGCCTTTGTTCTTATTTCTGTTATGTACAGTGGTACCTCGATCTACGAACAATCCTAAAAAAGCCAATGCAATTCTGGGCTGCATCAATAGGAGTATAGCATCTAGATCAAGGGAAGTAATAGTGCCACTGTATTCTGCTCTGGTCAGACCACACCTGGAGTACTGTGTCCAGTTCTGGGCACCACAGTTCAAGAAGGACACTGGCAAACTGGAACGTGTCCAGAGGAGGGCAACCAAAATGGTCAAAGGCCTGGAAACGATGCCTTATGAGGAACGGCTAAGGGAGCTGGACATGTTTAGCCTGGAGAAGAGGAGGTTAAGGGGTGATATGATAGCCATGTTCAAATATATAAAAGGATGTCATACAGAGGAGGGAGAAAGGTTGTTTTCTGCTGCTCCAGAGAAGCGGACACGGAGCAATGGATCCAAACTACAAGAAAGAAGATTCCACCTAAACATTTTGCTGCCAAGGAGTGTGGTGGAGTCTCCTTCTTTGGAGGTCTTTAAGCAGAGGCTTGACAACCATATGTCAGGAGTGCTCTGATGGTGTTTCCTGCTTGGCAGGGGGTTGGACTCGATGGCCCTTGTGGTCTATTCCAACTCTATGATTCTGTTAACGAACTATTCGGGCAACGAACTCCGCAAAACCAGAAATAGGTGTTCCGGCTAATGAACTTTGCGTCAGAAGATGAACGGAAGCCGAACAGTGGAAGGGCACCAGTGGCAGGAGGCCTCAGTAGGGCTTCTGCCAAAGCCCGGCTGGAGAGGTTGTGCGTAGCTAAAGAGGAAGCCAAGGATGGATCCCGCTGGCTGTTTTGGCTTCTTTGCTCTTTGGGGCTGGGGGGGGATATTTTTTTTTCTTTATTCCCCCCCTAAAAACTAGGTGTGCCCTATTGTCCAGTGCGCCCTATGGAGTGAAAAATACAGTACTTTATTGTCACTTGTACAACTGGTATACAGTGAGATAACACTCAACTGATATCAGCAGAGATAATTCAAGAGAAGCCAACTGAACATCAGGCCTTCAGACCTTGGTCACTCAGATACAGCTCAATCGGTAGAGTATGAGGCTCTTAATCTCAGGTTGTGGGTTCGAGCCCCACGTTGGGTGAAAAATCCCTGCATTGCAGGGGGTTGAACTAGATCAGGCATGGCCAGACATGGCCCTCCAGCTGTTTTGGGACTACAATTCCCACCATCCCTGACCACTGGTCCTGTTAGCAAGGGATCATGGGAGTTGTAGTCCCAAAACAGCTGGAGGGCCGAGTTTGGCCATGCCTGGACTAGATGATCCTTGTGGTCCCTCCAACTCTATGAATCTATGACAGCAGAAGACAGAAGCATTCAGAAACAGACGCTAATCAATTGACTGACAGATTATTATTATTTTTTAAATAAATCAATCTTCATTTGTAAACAAAACCCTATTGTGGGGTGTGTAAAAACATTTCTTTTCTACATAATTTCTCTTGAAAGCACTCTGTGTGTAAGAGAGAGCTAGAGAGCATCCATTCTGTTGCGCCCCCCACCCCCGCCACAAATGTCTTTGGTATTGACGTTTCTTACCTTTATTTGCAATGGAAATCCATCTTGGTTGTCGCCATGCAGCAGGCATTCACCGACAATGGGATCCATAGGCTGCACTCTCCCAGGAAGGATTGTTTCTGTTGACAAAAATTGATCGGGTTTTAACTTTCTACATATATATCCATGCATTTGTTCCATCAAGACATTGAATGGGCAGACCGGGCCTCTGCTTCTCTCTCTCTCGCTGTTATGTGATCTTTCTTTCATCTTTCTTTCAGTGACCCTTGGAGAATTGAGCCTCTTTCATTTTTATTTTTTGAAAAAAAAAATCTGTTCACTGATTACTTGTGTGCTAGGGATTGTTACATTATGGAAATAAAAGGAAATGTTCATTCTTTATTTTTTATCTGTGGCAACCTCAAAGCCTCTCCTTAATCCTATTTTTGTTTGTTTACAGCTCTTCCAACTTTCTGGGGATTACTTGCCTCTGAAGAATGCAAAAAAACCCAAACCCCAAACCCCCCTACCATCCTAGAGGCTTGTTCTTGCCTCCAGTTAACAAATAGCATTCTGTATAGGGGCATTACAGTGATTGCAGATAGGGTGTTTGCGCTCATGATTAAAGGATCAGAAATAGATAATGGGTTTTCTTTCCAAACCACTCCCTTTGGCAAGCGAGCCCCATCTGCCTTTATTTTGGCACCGGCCCTTAACCATCGGTTAGGGCTAACTTGGTGGGGTTGGGGATATAGGGAAATGTAGTACGGCGTCATAAAAGGAGAATGCCCTAGAACCAGGTTTGGGGCAGGTATTCTTTGGTGGCAGAACCCCAGCAGAGATTTAAAATCACAAATCATGCAGCAAAGTAAAGCATGGAAAAACATCCCCTTCTAAGTCGCTTCCAAAGTTCCCTTAGCGTAGAAAGACACTGCAAGTTTGGTAAGTTGAAAGTGGTTTACTTACAAACCCTCCAAAGGTCAGATTCATGTGTTTTTCCACATAGCAAGAAAATATAGGCTGCATAACTTAGATTCCAGAATGGCAAGAGTTTCTAAATTATTGGTATATAAACGCAAATGTGGCTTGCTTAAGCCACATGGTCTAAGCTCTGAGCACCCAGCTTAGACCTTGCTGGTAGAGATCACATGGTTGAATGAAAGAACAAAAGCTTCATCCCAAAGTGAGGAGGGGTGAGCTAGCTAACCCCTTAATGTATTAATTAGAGTTAAGCGTGTTGGTTATATGAGTCTGGATATCCCACATAACTTGGGTTCTTTATTAAGCAGGGTTTGGAAACTAGTTTCAAAGCAGATGATAATAATAATAATAATAATAATAATAATAATAATAATAATCTGTACCCCACCCATCTGGCTGGGTTTCCCCAGCCACTCTGGGCGGCTTCCAACAAAGATTAAAAATACACGAAAATATCACACACCAAAAACTTCCCTGAACAGGGCTGCCTTCAGATGTCTTCTAAATGTCAGGTAGTTGTTTATCTCTTTGACATCTGATGGGAGGGCGTTCCACAGGGCGGACGCCACTACCAAGAAGGCCCTCTGCCTGGTTCCCTATAGCTTTGCTTTTCGCGGTGAGGGAACGGCCAGAAGGCCCTCGGTGCTGGACCTCAGTGTCTGGGCAGAACGATGGGGGACTGGGGGAGATACTCCACAATCCTGCAGCCCATACGAAATGCTGATGGACTGTGATATCCTGCTACCATGAGGGGTTCTTGGGTGGCTATGAAGATGATGGGAAGGGGGTGGGAAGATCAAAATGGGTAGCTAAGATTTTTGAAGTGTTCAAGAAAAAACTTGTCTATGAGTTTAAAGGTAGGGAACTCAGTAAAGGGGTTAAAGAGATAAACTTATTTTGTCTAGAAAGACCTTATAAAAAAGCACCACTATTACTTCTTTAATACAGAAGATCCAGACTTCTTTCCTTAAGGCGGCATTTTTGTTGCAGATATGATGTATTTGCACAATCAAAGTTAACATTTAGCTGTGATTCTCTCTTCCCCACTCCATTTTCCCTCAAGATTTATGGATCCCTGCGTATGGGGAATGCACACATGGGTTATCTGTCTCTGCATGCGTTAGGGACCTGCGTTTGCCTCCAGTTTCAGAGCACTGAATGAGAAACTGTCGTGTAAAACCATCAGGTTTTGCAGTTTGCACTCTGACTATTCACACAACACTAAACCCAAGTCTCACACTGAGTGTACAACTTACGGAAAACTGGAGCTGATCAAAGCTATGCAACCTTGTGTGCCTGTATGATGAAACATGGATTTGCAAACCTCTTTTACACGATGCCCACATCTTCAATTTTAGATATGTCCTTGGCGTATACCTAAAGCCTGTAATATATGAAGAGGTCCTCTGATTTCACAATCATTCTTAGTGAAAGACACTGTGGTATAATAATTTTACATTTACTGGGTAGCAAGCACTGTATAAGCTTTAATGTCTTCATGCCTTCTCATTTGTGTTCATTTTCTAGAGACATCTATTTCCCCTCTTCTCTGCCTAGTTTACCTAATTCTTGGTGTGTGTTTTTCCCTAATTTGCCATCCAAAGTAACTCGTTTACTGGTTCTTGATTTTCCTCCAACTTCAAAAGTTGATGCTTTAAAAAAACACTTATTATTCTCTCGCTATTCTTTTCACACATCCTCTACACCTACTTGCTTCCAGGAGCATCTTCTGTTCTCCAGAATTTAATAATGGTGGGTAAAGCCTGGCTTTTTTTTAATTGGCAGCTTTCCTATGCTTTAATCCGTCTCTTGCCTTTCATTCCCTGCTCTCCGCGTACCAGGGCTCATCTTGCTGCTGTGATCTTTTCCGTTGCTTTAATTATGGAGTGTGGCAGCTGAACGTTTAAGTTTCATATTAATAGCGCCTTGTTTAAAGTTTTCAGTTGCAAAGCAAATGTTGAATCATCTGAATTTGGCGAGGTTTGAAATTATACCTGGGTATGTTTTTACCGTTCCTATTCCCAGCAGATTACACAATGGCACTGATTAGCTGCCGCATTTTGTAATACCACTTAAGGCTTTATCACAGTGGAGTACTGCCAGTAATAGTCTTTAATTCACTTATATGTACCAATTCATCTCTGTCAGGCTTCTATTCATTTCTTCCCTGTCTTACTCTGTCCCTAGCCTCTGTATAATGAGGTATGATGTCCCCCACTTAAGTGGGGGAGGGGGTCCAAAAATCCCTAGTGAACTGACTCTGGTCTTTTTGACACTTCAGGCAACCCAACCCCCCTTGCATTTATATGCCCACATTATTGCACTTCTCACAAATGAGAGGAAGTGGCACTGATAACGTTATCTGTTAATTCACATGCAAAGGAGAAGAAGTTACCGTATTTTTCGCTCTATAAGACGCACCAGACCATAAAATGCACCTAGTTTTTGGAGGAGGAAAACAAGAAAAAAAATATTCTGAATCTCAGAAGCCAGAACAACAAGAGGGATCGCTGCACAGCGAAAGCAGCAATCGCTCTTGCTGTTCTGGCTTCTGGGATAGCTGCGCAGCCTGCATTCGCTCCATAAGACGCACACACATTTCCCCTTACTTTTTAGGAGGGGAAAAGTGAGTCTTATAGAGCAAAAAATTCGGTACTTGGATGGCGATGGGGCGCTTATCTGTTGCGAATCGTGGTGGATTTATGATCGACATGCTTGCTTGATATATGTTGTGTTAAATGCTGGAGCATGATTATAAAGCGTGAGATGTTTCCTAAGGTTCTAGCTGTGGTTTTTGTTGTCTATGCAAAACAACTGTTGCCTCCAGAAGTCGCATGCTTTGCTTTGCTAGATGTTGATGCAAACTCTGAGCTTTGTTGTTTTGTCTCCTAGGATTGGTGCGAAACATCAGGAGCTGCGGCAGAAGCAGGCCAGGGGGCTTGCCGAGTATTCCCCTGGTCCTGTGGGCCCTCCGCCTGATATTGACGACGACGAGACAGACCCCAATTACGCACAAGTCAATCACTTCCGAGAAATGTACCCACCTGCCAGTGCGTACAGGCCGTCTTCTCCACCTGTGTCAGAAAACTTTGGGTGTGACAGCCCTCCAGTGCCAGTGGACAGGGACCACCTTGAAGGACTGTATGCGAGGATAAACAAGCCGTCTCACCAGCCTGCTCATGTGGAGAGGTAGTGATTCATATCATGGAAATTAATGCAAAATAGCATGTTGTTTGTTTATGTCATGAAATTTATACAGTCGTACTTTGGTTGCGCGTCGAGGTCCCCCAGGCCACCCCAATAACTCACACTTCACACATCAATCTTTGTTTAAGCTTTTTGGCATGAATTTGGCCACAACTTTATTTAAATACACACACATGAGTGGTTGCTTAGGCATTAGTTACGACTATCTGTCCTTGCCCCAGGGACAGAACTGACTTCTGGATTCCTGCGGAAGCCAGTCAGGGGGACAGGACTGACTTCCAGATTCCAACGGAAGCCAGTCAGGGAGAGCCATATTGGGGAGAAATGAAGCTGGACATCAGTCCCTCATCTCTCACCCTCATGCCCCCTGGGGCTTGCACGGCCCAAGTCCGATGCCAG